GTACAGACAGCTAATAGGACCGCTCACTAGCTAACAGCAGCTAGTACAGATAGCATATGCAGCGAATAGTTTTCTAATAAATACAGTATCAATGTCAATATCACTGACTTCCAGTTCCCCCTCTGAGTACGAGTCCTGTACTCTCTGTTCTCCCCCTCTGACTCCTGTTTGGACTCAGATCTGTTTGTTTTATCCTCCAGCTGATTACCCCTCACGCCATCCGGGTCCAGACGCCCCCTCGGCACATCCCCGGGGTCGTGGAGGTCACGCTGTCCTACAAATCCAAACAGTTCTGCAAAGGAGCACCGGGACGTTTCGTCTACACCGGTAAGACCGCCCGAACCCCGACCGTCTCCAGTCTCAGACCGCAGATCCACTGGGAGGTTCATCGCGATAATACTGAGAGTTTGTGACAGGAACTTAAATGTTTTAGATGTTTTTGTCACAAACTGTTTGGTGGTAATTAAACATGAAGAATCTGTCTTCCGATGATCAGTCCGGTCACTTTTACCTGTGTTACATTTATTGAGCTCTTAAAGACACAATATCACTGATCACAAAACAAAACCATCAATATCTGATTTGATTCTGTGTTTTGATCCTGATGCTGTCGTTGTCCAGTGTTAAAGAGTCTAAGACCTGATTGATCACTAATCAAACTGTTTCACCTATTTAAGGACAAACATTTAAGTTTTTACACCTTTTCCTTCCTAAAGAGAAAACTCTGATATATTATTTAGTGAATGTGTAACGGTTTATTTTGATCGCCACCTAAAGCCAAACCTGCCAACATTGAGACTCATAAATAGAGATGGTTTCCTTTTTTCAGTTTAGAAACTGAAATGGACGCAATGTTTTTCACATAGATAAATGAATAAATGTGTAACTTTCCAATTTACAACAAGGCTCAAATAATGAAGAATTTGTCGTTGGCAGCGTTTCACAAAGTTTATAAAGTTTCTCTTAATAACTCAAAATTACATGATTTTTAAAGGGAGTCTGGTGATATTCCTGCAGTTGTTCCTATTGTGTTGGCGAGCACAAACGCACCCAGACGAAATTTCCCCTTCAGCAACATTTCATTCTTTCTCAGTGGCATCAGAAGGAAATATCCTCCACGTCCTGTCCTTCATTTTAGACACATTTACCCAGAATGCAACTCTTTAGCATCAGTGTAAACAGTGTAAAAGTTTATATGTTTGGACAGAAGCTCTGTGGGCTTAAGGGGGAAGGTTTAAGGTTTTTAGACCGGAGTCCCGGTTGAACCGATGAGGATCAGGTTGGTTTTCTACACGCTGACAGTGAAGTAAACATCTTCCCCGGTGTGTCCTTCCTCCTCTTTCTCCTCCTCCTCCTCTTTATCCTCTTCCTCTTCCTCCTCCTTCTCCTCCTCTCTCCAGCCCGTCCTTCAGACTCATTGTCTGCAGTCCGAAGACGTCCTTATCTGTCTCTCAGATCGGTGCTTTTACTGTCCCGATTATTCTGTCAGAATATCCAGATGTCATTCAAAGTAGCAGAAAGGTCAGATGGAAGCTGTTTAGCGTGATAAGTAAATGTCATTGCGTCGGGCCGTGAAAGCGTGTTCGGGCTTTCTGTTTAACACCAGTTTATCGCCGCTTCCTTCCGTCTTTGTCGGAGGCACTGCCTCCGACGACGGCAGTGCGACGCCGAGAAGGGAACGAGACACTCACAATGGACGGTCCGGCCGCCGCCTCCTTTTGCAATGCTAATCTGTGATTCCATTTAGAGATAGCGGCGACTGCGAGCGTTGCTTTCATGTTGTGAATAGAGCCTGTTGTTATCTCATTTGAGTGTCAGAAACACGCTGGAAGGACCGACCCGACACGTTTCAGTCCAAATCACTCAGGGTCGATATCGAGGATGATGATGTTTTTTTATTAACGAGTGGCTTCTGTCATCAGATGGTCAAAAAAGACAAAATAAAAGCATCAGTAAAAAGACATTTACGGGAAGAAAAATGTTTCATTTCTGTCTGAACAGATGATTTTCTGAAACAAATAAGAAAGACGGAATGAAGAAAAGACAAAATAGAAAAATACAGTTTGATCCCTGAATGCATTTGTCCTTCCAGGCTTCCATTACTGTCCACCACAGCGAACGTCACAATTTCACTTAAATGCATCTTTTTCATACGAATGTTTCCACCAAGTTGAATTTACAACGTTTTCTTCCACTAAAGCCTATTATTAATTTATTTATACAATTTTCAATTAATCGATTATCAAAGTGGTTGCCAATTAATTTCAGGGCTTATATTTTTATAATGATATTAAGTCAACTTAAAGAAAATTAGTTAATGGAACAAACTGGAATTAAATCACCAATAATTAAAATTATTTTACACATTTAACTGAAACAACTGATTATTACTTCAACTGTTTGGTTTAAGTCATGGGAATGAGTGAGGATAGTTTATGTTAGTTTAGTTTTTTTATTAGGATATGTTGTTTGTTGGATTTACAGTGTACAATATATTACAGTTATATAAGATATGTACACTGATGTGTGATTGTCCGTCAATTTGAGGCCTTAATCCTGGAGGAACCGACTAATATCTGCTTTTATCTAGTCAATATGTTCAATAACATCCAGTTTAAAATCAACACATGTGGAACCTGACTGTGGAACCGCTGCGTTAAACAAACTTTCCTTGTTCAAATAAAATGATTTATGTATTAAAATATAAAATATTAACTGTAGCAAACAAAAATATCATTATAGTATGAAATTTATCCTGTTTATAGAAACTGATCTGAATTGTGGTCAGTTTTTGTCACAATTTGCTTCCATATAAACGATCCCAACAATGTAGATGTGTCCATAAAGAATACAAAGGAGCATTACAGCATGTTTTATAAAATGATGTAAAATATTCAGGATGTACCGACTGTGGAACCAGTATTCCTGATTCAGCATCAGCCGACAGATTCCACAAACCCAACGAAGGAAACGTGAACATCTGACTTCAGTTTGATTGATAGGAAACAACAAAAGTGTGTGTCCCTGAAGGCATCGTGAGGCTGAACCCCGACAGGTGGCTGCATCGTAATGTCCCGCAGTTTCTTGTCATTCTCCCAAGTCTTCTTCCCGCTCCCACTGCCAGGGAGGCGGCCATATTGTGCGCACACATCGCCAGTACATCTGATTTACACATCCATATTTTAAAAACGAGGACGCGTCCGTTTCCAGAGCGCGCTCGCCGTGCCAGCAGTGTGTTGTTGTTCATGAATGTGAAATGAGCCCAGCTTTTAAACACTGAACAGGCGAGCGGTGGATAATTGAAGAGGAGAGAGCTGATGTCATTGAATGTCTGACTCGATGGAACAAACATGGCTGCCAGTCTGTCTGAGAGAAGCTTCTTTTATTTATTTCTGTGTCGGATTAGATTTTAACAACAGGGTGGAGACAATGTTAAAGTGAGTTTCTCACTGAATGAACTTCTGTCTGTCGGTATCATCAGTGTCTGTGGTTCTTCAGTACTTTCACTGTGACATTGGACTGTGGGAGGAACCTGCAGGAGGTTCTGCTCTCTGAGATTGTCCAGGGATCAGGGTGGTAGCAGAATCTGACTCCTCTATCTCCTCTCAGCTCCCTCAGTGGAGGTGCAGTTGGAGGTGAAGTGACAGGGAGTGAGATCCGAGTGTTTTCCCAGAATTCACTGCTCTCTTCCTCACAGTGGCTTAAAGCAGCTTCAGGATTTGATCCTCCGGCTTCGCTCTGAAAGACGAGAGAGCGTCAGCAGAATGACAAGAGAGGAGCAGAGAGGAGGAGGGAACAGGAGGAGGGAGGAAGAGGGAGGAGGAGAGAGGAAGAGTGAGGAGAAGGGAGGAGGGAAGAGAAGGAGGGAGGAGGAGAGAGGAAGAGGAGGGAGGAAGAGAGAGAAGGAGGGAGGAGAAGGGAGGAGGGAAGAGGAGGAGGGAGGAGCAGAGAGGCTGTTGGGACGTTACCTCCATGTACAGACACAGAACATTTGCTCCTGTAGTGTCTGTCTGTCTGTCTGTCTGTCTGAGTGAACATCCCAGAATAATCAGCAGTCTCTGAAATGAATGAGATCAATATATTTAATCAGTTATCAATCAGGTCGATCAGTTATAATCTGTGAGCTCGACTGAAGAACGACTTATACTCTGAAACAACTTCCTGTTGTTTTACAGTGTTTGTTGTTGTTGGTGTTTTTTATTGACCCAGTAAGAGTGTTTGTTTGTTACCATGGCAACAGTTGGGGTTACAAATAAACAATAATTGATGATAAATTGAGAGACAATCTGAGAGACCCAATAATCAAAGATCTGACTCCTGCTGGTTGTTGTAGTTTGTAGTTTCTGGTTCTGCAGGTTTGTAGTTTTTCTTTGGGTCATTTTTATTTATTTTGTCTCTTTTTTTCGAGATATTTTGTCCTGTGATTTTTTTTTAATCTATTCTTTTATTTTTGGAGTTTATTTTAGTTCTGCAGTTTTTGTAGTTTTTGGTTCTGGTTTCATCACCCTCTCCCCGACAGAGCTGCTGGTTGAGCGAGCCGGGTGGCGCTGCTGGGTCCACACCGCCCAGCGGCCTCAGAGCTTGTAATGCACGGATCAATGCGGCCTGCGGGGGGAGGACGGGTGAGGGGGGTGATGTTGTGGGATCGATGGGTGCTGAGTTATTGCGGCGCTCGGCCACTGATTTTTAGAGAGCTGTGTTTTCCCAGGAAAGTCAATACCTCCAGGCTCCTCTCATTAATTTCAACCCCCAACGCCTCCCCCTCCTCCTGCAGCTGCACCGGGGGATCTGCAGCCCCGGGGAGGGAGAACGGGGGGGAGGAGGGGGAGAGTGAGGAGAGAAGCTGAGATGATGGAAGTCTGGGAGAGAGATGGAGGGGGAGGAGGGGAGAGAAAAGAGGAAGAAGATGAAGTCAGGCGAACGGAAGTGGAGGGGGTGTGGATGAAGAGGAGGAGGAGAGGAGGAAGGACAGTGTGGTTCCTGGTTCAGAGACACAGGGAGAAATATTGATCCCTAATATGGAGATCATGTTTGCAGCAGATTATCGATGGCGACTGTTTCTGGAGCCGCTCGCTAACGCCGCCTCCTCCTGCTGGAGGAGCACTGATGTGTGGGGGAGGCCAGAGGGGAGGCGGGGGGGTGTTTCCTCAGCCTTTGGGGTGTTTTCCTCGAGGGGGTCGCCTCTGGCAGGCCTCGACATGCCTCTCTGAACCCCTCCAGTGAGGCAGCAGGGAGCAGGTGTGGCTGAACTGCTGATCTCAAACAACGCTCGTGGCCAAAAGTATGTGGACGGCTGAGCACCGGCTGTACAACCAACCTGGTTTCAG